GCGGCGCCTGCCCCTGGGCCAGGCGGGGGGCAGGAGGGTTCGGGAGGGCCAGGAGTTCGAGTCCCCGCTGCTCCCTCCCGGGTAAAATGGCGCCGGCGGAACTAGGCTTTAATTTGTTGGAATGGCTTTAAATTCCCGCTTCCCGGGCTCCCTGGTGCATCTCCTGCCCATGAGCTCCGGGGGAGCGGCCTTGCTCGCCCTGTTGCAAGCCAGGGGCTGCTCAGGGCCTGGCCTGAGACTCCGGAGCTGCCGAGCTTCAACTTGTTCTCGTTGAGCCCCTTTTGTTTGAAAAGTTTGGGGGCGCTTTGTTCCCGGGGGGGGCCGAGCGGCCGCTTGCAGGGGAGGGTTTAAGCGGGGCAACTGCCTGGAGCCTGCAGTCTGGTAAAAAACCAGTGAGCTGCGAACAGAAGAGGAACAAACAGGGAGTTTGGGGGAGGAGGGACAGGTTCCCACAGAGCCTTTGTGCCTTGCATGCTCTGTGAGCACTAACTCCATTTGAACAGGCTCTTGGGAGAGTGAGCGATCCACAGAGCCCGGAGTAGATACAAAATTGGGATCCCCATGTGGATCTGCAAGAATAATCTGCAGATAGCACCCCCGTGGCTGTAGATACCTGTGGATATAAGTCGGGTAGCTGTGGATTTGTGGGGGTCTAGCCACAGAATCTGCATCCACAAAAACAAGCAGTGGATAGCTGCATCCACATTAGGGATGTAATAGTGTAGTCAGTTAACCGATAAGCAAAAGCTGATAGGTCAATGCTATAGACACATGCACTTCCTCCCTCCCACTTGCCAGTACATTTTTTAGCAGTCTGGCTCAGTCCTGGCTTGAAATGAGTCTGGGGCCTACCCCTGCTGCAGCTCTGCATTTAAAGTGTATTAGGAGCCAGGTGGGCGGGCAGCCCTGCTCCATTCTAGCTCATACGGGGTCTGGGAGCTCAGGACACTTCCCCATCCCACCCCCCAGATGGGCTGCTGCCTATTGGCACTGTTGCATCTTTATCAGAGGTAGCAGCACAGGGCAACAGGCAGTTGGTCCACAAGGGGAACTGGTTTTTGAACTGGCTCCCCTTGCAGACCTGGTCCCACCTGGCACCCTGCACTGCTGCCTTTGATACAGAGGCAACAGCACAGAGTGGCCAGGGCTCCTCAGGAGTGAGACTGGAGCACACTGGCTGCCAGCCCTGCCCCCAGGAACCATAGACTAGTCAACTAACTAATAAGAATGCTTGAGGATACTCAACTATTCAATTAACCAATATTTAACATCCCTAATCCACATGCAGGAATGGTCTGCTGCCCAATATAGGAATAATTTGCCCAGGGAGCAATCTAATTTAGAGCGCAGAGGTCTGCAACCTTTTCAAACCAAAGAGCCAAACTATATTAAAATCTAGAACAAGTGGCCAACAAAGAGCCAGTATAAGAATGCCCCTTTGCATGACTGAAAATATACAACTTAATATTATTGATAATTGACATGATTAATAATAGCAGAAATGAAATACTAATCACAGACTTTATTTAATGGGACTTCTGCTGCTGCATCTTTTTGCACATTTCTTTGAAATTTACATAATAACTGGTCAAATTCAGGTTCCTGCATGCATTCAAACTACATGAGTAATTATGTGTTTTTAACATTTTGAATTAATTTTTCATTTTAATTTAAGAAGTTGCATGTACTTTGGGAATGATAAAAGAGCTACATTTGGTTCCGTATTTGGCTTGAGAGCCATTGGTTGCAGACCCTTGCGTAGGCTAATTCATCTTGGTAGTATCTGCTGTTGGCTAACAGTGTTCCTTTCACAGGGCCAGTATAACGTGGTTATTGTTTCATGTGAGATGAAGGGAAAATGTAACCATGCACTCAAATTAGTACTAATACAATGAGTTCTCCATGTTTATTTCAGTGTAGAAAGTTAACTCCTTTTTTTAAAGCATCTTTATTTAAATGTGCAGGTCATCATGAAACTCATCATTCTGGAGAACTATGCACAAGCCAGTGAGTGGGCTGCAAAGTACATTAGGAATAGAATTATCCAGTTTAACCCTGGCCCAGACAAATACTTCACTCTTGGACTTCCCACAGGTAGGTTTGGAAGGATTCATTAACATGATTTAACATGTTTAAGCAAGAACACTGACGTTCTAATGTATGAAATCAGTGCTTTTTGCACAAGAACTATGATGCTCCCACTCAGGAATAAGCCCTCTTGCACAACTGTTCTTGCGCAGGAGGCCAGTGTAGACAGGCAACATGCATTTTTTGCGCAAGAAAGCCCTGTGGTTAAAATGGCCATCAGAGCTTTCTTGCGCAAGAGAGCATCTACACTGGCACGGATGCTCTTGCACAAAAGCACATCTCTTGTGCAAAGGCACATGCCAGTGTAGACGCTCTCTTCTGGAAGAGTTTTTGCCCAAGAACTCTTCCGCAAGAGTTCTTGCGCAAAATCATGCCAATGTAGACGTAGCCTTGTTGTTTGGGGAGCAACAGTTTGTATAATTTACTTCCTTTAAGAAACCTTTTTCTGTTTTTAAAGTAAGCAAATTATTTATAGTGATGCCTCCCAAATAACAACAAAGAGTCCATCTAGATAGAAGGTGAAGCACTACATGATGAGACAGCTCTTCACATAAGTGGAATAGATGGTAAAACTATGTGCTTCCTCTAGGTGTAAAATTCATCTACTTTTAAGACTAGATCCTTATTGCTTGAATTAAAAGAGACTCTCCAATATTAGCTGTGCAGAGCTGACAGACAGTTGAGCAGTTCTGATTCTGTCCAGTTGAGGATGAAATAGCACACAATCAGTTTATTACAACTGGACAGAATTGGAACTGTTCAACTTGCATGGTCGATGATGGGGAGTCTCCTTTAGTTCAAGTAAAAAGTGTTTGTAATCTTGGAACAACAGGTGCTAGACTCTATACTCTTGAAGCTGAAAGGTGGCATAAGCTTTTTACCATATATATTTCTTTGTTACGGTTGTGATCCAACCACATTCTTGGCTTTTTTTGGGGAGGCAGCATCAGAAATATAAGCCACTGGGCACTTCCCTGCCACCACACCCCATAGGAACTAGTTTGTTTTCACCCAAGCTACTTATGTAATGTCTCAATAAAACACTGTTTGGTATATATGTCTGCTTTTATTTTTGTTTTATAATATTTAGTGCTATTCATCTTCAAAACAGCTGTATTCAGACATTTCCTGTCTCACAACCCCTGGTTTGTAAGATAGATGAATACTGTCTCTATTTTACACATAGGGAAGCTGAGGCCCAAAGAGACAAATGTGATAGAGTGGTTGTGTTATTTGCTATACTTAGTATCAATGAGTCTTCCAGTCATTAATGAGGTTCTGCTCTGAGTAGGTTTTTGAGCAGCTAGCACCAGTACTGAGTTTGTTGAGATGGCTTTCGATGTGTTTGTTAGCCAATAGTTTGTAATTAAATAGTTCAGTCTTTCAGTAACATAAAAATCTTCGAATTATTGAATTAATGATGCAGAATGTTTACACAGCTCAGTGTATGCACAGCATTGTGAAACACTAATTCCACTAAATATTTTGATTTTTTCCCCCCGCGTTATCTCTCCTAGGAAGTACTCCTTTAGGATGTTACAAAAAGCTGATTGAGTATTACAAGAATGGAGATTTGTCCTTCAAATATGTAAAAACCTTCAATATGGACGAATACGTAGGTGAGTCATCTTAATTCATAAAATGTTGTGCTGAGGAAACAATCAAGCTTTTTTTTTTTAGGTGGAGGGTCCCCAAATTTTATTTATTGTGCTGAATGAAATCAGACATTTCTGTTAATACAAAATATGTCACTTTGTATAGAACTCAATGTAAAATGACCTCAAAACAGATTGGGAAGGGAGAGACAGGGGATTGGAATGCTATGTAATACTTATTATAACAAGCTAGAGTTGCCAAGTCTCCCAGACCGAATGGACCAGGCACCATTGCTGCGAATAGCGTCTGGTCAGGAAAGTGGGCAACCCTCTAATGAGCTGCAACTTTGTCCCCTAATTAGAAAGATCACATTAGCTATGACCTGTGAAAGCTGACTGATACATTACCTGAGTATTTCATTAAAGAAGTCCCACTGATGACGCTAGTACAGTAGATTGAATGTAAAATCTCTGAATTTACCATATTATCCCAGCTTTCTTCTGATCAGGGAAATTGCTGCTCCTTCTGCTGTTTTGCTGGTTTGGATGGAATGCTGTAGCCCTGTGCATAATTAGTAAAGGAAATAGGCAGTGCTCCAGCAAGATTGCACTTTAGACTTGCTGATATGTAGCCCTGTTATGATGTTAGATAAGGATTGCCTTATTTGTGACATTATGATGCAATATTCAATTGGAGCTGGTTCAGTGACAAGTGAACAAATCCTCTGGTTATCAAGGTACCAATGTGCTAAACATACACATTAGTTTACTCTATGGCCCTACTGTTATTGCATTATCTTCCTGATTTGATTGGACTGATTTTTTTTCTGTGAATAATCATAATCCGAATACTCTGGATTAGGTTAAGGGTTATGTAGTTTGTTCTAGAATCATCCTTTATAATCAGGGAGTTTTTGGAAGAATTGTTAAACTAAAGTTGCTTCTTTGGTTTTGGCATACCATTAACAAGCTTGGAATAACAATAATTCTGCAGAATGTTGAGGAAAAAAAATTAGATCTGTTTCATAATATTAATGCATCTTATTCATAGAATTTGGATAATCTGCCTCTCCCTCACAGTGTGATCTTACTGGAACTATAGTGACTTTTAAAACTTGCATTAAGGACACCCAGCTGAAGAGTAGATGGTGATATCTGGCATTCATTTGTAATCAAAATCACCGATGTCTATGCAAATATATGTACAAGTTTTTACATAGGTTATTGTATCCTCCTCCTTTGTGCCCACTTATCAAGTCGTGAAAGCTGTAACAAATAGGGTGTGAAAGACTTTGAAGCAGGAATTGTTTTTGTACTATGTCCTGTACAATGAGATCTGGGTCCTTAATGGGTCTGCAGATGTGACTGTAATATAAACCTGCAATAATGTTCCTGATCACCAGGTCTCCCAAGGGATCATCTGGAAAGTTATCACTCCTTCATGTGGAATAACTTTTTCAAGCACGTTGACATCTCTGCAGAAAACACTCACATTCTGGATGGAAATGCAGCTGACCTACAGGCAGAGTGTGATGCTTTTGAGAGGAAAATCAAAGCAGCTGGTGGAATCGAACTCTTTGTTGGAGGTGAAAATCTGAAAGAATAACAGACTAGAAGAGAATAGAGCATTGTTTTTTTAGCATAAACCTAGATAACTTTGTTTGGGGAGTTCCTTTTTAAAGCCACTTATTAGATATGCAGTCAGAAAAGCCATATGTGCATTCCCTTGCCCCAAAGAGTGTATGGGGTACTTGTCTGTAAAGTGTCACCTCTAGCCATTTCCTCCAGTGAGGCTAACTGGTGGGGACTGGAGCTGCTCCCCACCTATTGCAGGCAGGGGGACTGCTCCAGGCCCACAGAGGGCCCACCATGGACAGGGGCTGCTGTGGCTGGGCTGGAGCAGCTCCTGTCTGCGGTTGTGGGGCAGGGAGAAAGTTGTGCCAGGCCAGCAGTGGGTGGGGGTGGGGTCTGGTCTAGCCTGACTGGAACATCCTCCTCCTCCCCCCCTCTTAATCCATTAAACAATGTTTAACTGGCTAACCAGATAAACAGGGATGTTACATCGCCAATGCATAGGTGACTCACTGGTAGTCTGTGTGTGTTTTATTTTTGACTCAGTGAGATGCTTAGGTTGTCCTAG